ATTGGCATTAAAATATAGAAAACATTTAATAATAAATTATTATACGGTCTTAAAATTTACAATAACAATGCAACAATATTAATTGCAAATTTATTTTATATTTAATTATAATTAATAAACTTTTAATTTTTATTATTCCAATGAAAAAAAAATTGTTTGTATATTTTTAGTAACTTAAATAGAATTTTTAAAGAAATTTTCTTATTTCTTCAAATTTTCGTTCTGTTTCTTTTTGTTTATTTTACTTCTCTCTGGATCCCATCCAAAATTTGTTTATTACCTATTTGCTAAATTGTTTTAAACATTAAACATGCATATATACAGAATGTAAATGTTTCAATTATTTAATTTTATTATTACGAAGAAATCTTAAAATTTTATTGCAATTATAATTTATGTATGTACAAGCATATATATGTATGTATGTTAATATTACATAAAATATATGTGTGTAAATATACTTGACAATATGAGCTACTTTATTTGCAAAGCAAATAATAGTTAAAAATAATTGACATTAGTATGACTGCGTACAGCCGGCTTATGTGATTACAGCACTACCTTTTAAACTGCATTAAAATTATTTTAAGTTATGTAAAAAGTACTTAATTTTAAAATATTTACTTGTACTGGTTGATAAATTCTGTGTTTAAAACGGAATGTCATAAATGTCAACAATGCCAAAAATTGCAAATGTCATAAATGTCAAAGATTTCACAATGTTGTTAATACTACAATCAAATTTTTAAAAACATTTTGTGAATTTCAAAACTTCGTAATCTTGCTGACCTTTAAAAATTTCAAAATATTTCAGTTAGATGGGGTTACGGTTTCAATTATTGATTAAAATGACAATTTTTTTATTATCAATTCATCTGACAATGATATTTGACTTGATTAATCTTTCAAAATCTAAATAATAAGAATTAATGTTACTAAAAATTTATAAAATTTTGTCACTATAAAATTCTTTGCAATTGGAAATTTAATTGCGATGGAGGTTAATGCCAAAGTTCTACAGATATGAAGAAAAACAAAAAAAGAAATAATGTTGGTAATTTTTGTTCCGAGGTCAAAATAATTATAAAAAGTTATCAAAAATTTCACAAATCCTCATAAAGTTATTTAATTAAGAGGAAAAAAACAAAAAACTATTTTTAAATTTGTTTTTATATTTTCAGAGTTGTTCAATTAAAGAAAAGCCAATTTTCATGGACACTTTTTTTTTATATATTCAACACGAGCACAATTTCTATTCAACAGGTTGATTTGAATTTTATTCTGCTATTTTTTTTCCAATTTATAAAAATTTGAGGTTTTTAATTTACTTGAAAATGTATTTTACATTAAATGACGTCATCAATCGAAAAAAAGAGAAAAAAAATTTCAATGGTTTTCTTTATTGTTTACTTTGGGATTTTCATATTAAAACTCTTAAATCAACTAAAACAAATACATAATTTTTCGGAAAATGTTTTGTAATCAAAATATTTATAAAAAAAAAATATGAAAGAAATAGAAAATTTTCAGCAGTTTTTCTTTAAAGAAGACATTCTGTTCAATCAATAGGTTTTTGTAGTTTATTTTTAAACAATTTGAAGATAAAAAACATAATAAAAAAATTTCCCGGAAGTTTACATAAACACACACATAAAATTTATTCCTTTATAGTTTTACAGATGTTATTATAGCGAGGGAACATGCAATAATGCAAATTATTTTTCGATGAAAGTGTGTCACGCCGAATATATATTAAGTATGTAAATTTACATATAATGAAATTATATAATTGAAGATTTTTTATAATTGAGAAAACAAAAGTGAATTAGTGTAAAATAAGGTATTTTTAGATATCTACGTCAACTGTTAAAATTTGAGACTGATAGGAATAATTTTTCTTTTACACGAATTTCTGTTCCTAGCACAAAATCGGTTTGAGTCCACGATTATTATGAATGACCAATTCGACATCTTAACAATTTGTTTTTAATTTTATAATAAAAATTCTGATGATTCAGCGCTTAAAGAATATGTAAATAAGTCTTTGGTCGGACACGGCATCTGGTTAAAATTCACTTTAAATTTTTTAAATTGTACAGTTCAGAATTTTTGTAATCAGGGGCAAAAACCGTACACTCAGGGAAATTACTGAATTTTTCTTTAAAACTTATTAAAAAAAACGCTACAAAAAGAGTTTTTGAAAAAAATTACTAAAAAATGTTAAATGAAAATGTTCTTAAAATTCTGTTTCAAAGCATCTCTTGCTTTTTTTCTATCATTGCTGTTGTCACTATATATCTATTCTCATAATATCTATTATTATATTTATCTTACAATATTTCACTTTATAAATATCTTAAAATAAAAAATTATTATTTTTTTTTTCGTATTTTCACTCATGGCTATTATTATAATATTTCATTAAAAGTATGATAAATGAATTTTGCGGGACGTTCACCTGATGATGATGATGATTGTATTAAATTTTTGGTTCCAGTTCACAAACGATTAATTTACCGGAAAAACAAATACGTGTATATCGTATTATGTTTTGAAAATTGTCCTCTCAATTTCAAGAAATATGAACGAGGACAGTTAAATTGAATATTACGTTTAGTCAACAATAGAACGAATTATTGATGTAAAAAATAATAAGTGTCATAATATAATTTTTAAAAGCTATAACAACAGGATGCGTTACTAAAACACCGTATTATCAGACTGGAATCTCATTCTTATTTTTTGGTTTATTATCAGTTATATGAGAGAAAACGGTTTAATTTTATTTTGGAACTTAAGTAAAATTTAAAAAAAAATTTAGCGCAGGTTTTGTAAATTGCTGACGAATTTTTTGTATTTCAAATTTTAAAAAAATTCAATAACAAATTAGTTTGTTTTTATTTTTTTTTTTTTTTAGAAAAATACCTTAAAAAATTATATTCTTTTCTTGTATGCATTCTTATATACAAGTAGATGAATTTTAGTGCCGGAAAACTTTCAATTTTATTGCAATTAAAAATTTTAAAACAATTAAAATTCTTTAAAATTGAATTTTTTTTTCAAATTTGATGAGATATTATAAAAATGATTGACTCATGGCCAAATAACTACGTCCTTGAATATATTTATATTTAATTAGGTTATCTTACACTTAAGGCAAAAATTAAATGTTTCTTTTCTTTTCAATTTTAATTTAAATATTTAAATGAAATTTTAATTAAAAGAAAAATCACTCATTCATGCTTATTGTAGCCTATATGTTACATGACCGTGTCATAATGTCAATGACATTAATATTGAATTTACATATTTGTCAAAAAATTGTTACAAAATTAATTGAAATAATTGAAAGATTTTCTTAAATTGGTATAAGAGGGAAATTAATTACATCGGAAAGTCGATAATTAAATAATTTTAATGAAATTTGCTAATTCTATTCTAAAGGAATTTTAAATTCGAATTTATTCTTTGACATGACAGACAAAGTGAATATAATTTCGATTTAATTTCGTAAGTACAAATTTCATTTTTTTCTTTTTTTTTGACCAATTACACAAATTTTAATATAAAAATAAACTCAATATATCGTAAGTGTTCTAATCAAATTATTTTGATCGTAAATCCATCACTTTTGACTCTAATATTATTTTAAAAATGTTTTTTGATTTATGAATATTTTCCAAGAAAAAAAAATTTGAAAACATGTTGTGTTTCATTTTAATTTTTTTTTATGTTTTAAATTTGGCAAAATATTTTTAAAATTAGTTATAACCATAATTACGTGTATAATAGCGTTTTTAATAAAAAAAAAAAAAATAATAAATATCGATAATTTTCTTTGACATTGAAATTAATTTTTCTTGTCAAACGTCAAAAAAAATTTTATATCTTAATATTTTTATACAGAAATATGTATGCATGTATGTACATATTAATAATATAATTTCTGATTTTGTGTTTTAATTTGAACTTGTCATATAATTTTTACAAAAAATATAAAACTTATTTGGTTTGTTTAACCGACAAAGAGCTATAAAAATTCTTTTACAAGAGCGGAGCTGAATTTTATTAAAAATGCGACAAATCGTTTATGTCAGATGTCATTTATATACGAAAAACATTTGATCGTGACATTTTATATCATTATTATTCATTTTTTTTCAGTTGTCTGTTTACAAGCACATCAACACACATCTGTTTAACATACTTCTGAGTTAAGAGTGTCATATTTTCCAACTGAGTGCTATTCACCGAAAGTATGGAATTTCACCGAAAGGTAGGAAAATATTCCCTCCCGTCCCACTTCTATTTTTGGGAACGAGAATGGAAACGGAATTACATATATTTGTTTTTCTTTCTCCTGATGTTGCTCAATCTTGAACAGAAGTTTGTAATCAAATACCTGTTATAATTATAGTTGTTTTTTATCGTAGTTTCTAAAGTTGTTTAATAATATCTATGTAAAGTGCATTTTAAATAATTTTATGTTCCTTAACATTTATAAAAATGTACTATTTATGCAATATAACAATATATGATATAATAACACAGATTTGATTTTTAAACAATAGAATACAATAGAGTTGCAAAATTATTTTATCAGATATTAAAATTGTACCAATGTTGATTTTCTTACAAATAATATTCGTTTCGATATACCAATCTTTTAAGTTTATTTTAATCTAGGGGTCTGAATTAGAAGTTTATTACAAAATTAACTTTAAAATTAACTTAAAATTCAATGTAAAATTGTAAATTTTAATTAAATTTTGAAATATCAAAGGTTAACATACAAAACTGACAAATGCAAGATGCCAGAAAAAATAAAAATTTAGTTATCAGTTGTCACTATTTCTACTATTTTATTTGAAACAAGAATTTAAGAATAAAATTTGTTCGTTAATTTCTCTATACTATCGAAATATTGCAACACTATTGAAATTTTAATAATTACATTAATCTTATTCATTTTAATTTTATAAAAAATATTTAATACTTACTTCTTTCTCTTCATTATCACCAGGTGAGTCCTGTTTATCTGGATCAATATCCTGCAAATTAATAAAAATAATAATTAAAACAAACAAACATTTAAATAAATTTTAAAATTTCGAAAAATATACACTTTAAATATAAAATTAGTATGTAAAAAATAAATTTAAAAAAATTGTACACAAAAAAAAAAACGCATGCAAAAAATTAACACAAGAAATAAACAAAAATATTGATGAAGTACAAAAAAAAACAAAAACAAAAGAATAACATTATCCTTTTTAAGAAACAAAAAAAAAATTTTCTTTTATTTCATGATTTCATTTTTGTCCTAGAAAACGAATCTTAAGAAATACGATTTCTTCTTTTTTTTGAAAACTCACATCCATATCCACGTGTACTACACCAGTTGACCTTCTTTTATGTTTTCTTCTTCGCTGTATTACAGCTTGATTTGATTGACCACTACGACTATCATTCTCTTTGTCATTTTCTAAAATATTTATTAAAAATATTTTTAATAAATTTTATATATGTTAAAAAATATTGAAAAATTTATAATTTTTTACCTTTATCTTCATCTCTATTGTTATTATCACTACGAATTCTTTCATTAGTATTATTATCAGTATTCGATTGTGTAATGGGTGGTGCTGAAATAGGTCTTGCTGGCTGCTGACTTGATTGATTTACTGTGCTTACTATAAAAAAAATTTTTTTTTCATTATTATAACTCAGTCAATATTAATTCAAATTTATATAATATTATTATATTAATATTACTTGGATTACTTCGTCGTTGATTTGCAGCTGCCATAACAGCTGGTGCACTTGTAATTATTGTATTATTGCTAGGAGGATATGTTGAAGTTGCATCTTCAAGTTTAAACTACAAAATATCACAAAACAAAAAAAAAAAAAAAGAGAATATAATAATAAAACTAAATAATTATTGAAATCAACAATTAATTTAACAATGTTTCTAAGTTACTTAAAATCTTAAAATGTAAAAGTATAGTTTAAGAAAACTTAGTAATTATTCAACGTCGTGAAAAGAATAATATGATTTGTGAAAAAGGCAAATAAAGAACAAAAAATAGTATATGTTTTTAAAAAATTGACAAAATTGTCGCAGTATTGCACTGATTTTCATTCAAAATATTGCAAATCTTTGCAATTATTCATGATTAATGTTATCTTTTATCTTAAAAATTCTTTAAAAACAGTCACAATAAAAGCTAAAGAGTGTAGTATTTGCAAGCTATTTTTAAAGATAAAGTGTAAATAAGGATTTGAAGTATAAGAAATACTTTTACATGTACGTACCTATGTATGTATGTATTTAAATTTTACAGAATTTCAGGTTTTCAATTTATTGATTAAGGATATGTTAAGTTTTTTTTTATGCGATGAAAATTTTTTATTAACGTGTAAAAATTTCATTTACTATTACAAGTTTTAGAAAACAAAATTCTAGTCATTCTTTTATTTATCCCTAAATTCAGACAGCGTGCGGTTTAAACAAAAAAAATTGTTATATTTTATATTAGCAATGAAATGATCAATTCGAACTGTGCTTTGTTGGAACTAAGCACTGTTTTCTATTATTTCTTTGTTTGATTTTTTATGCAAACGTCAGAGTACATTTATAAGAACGAATAAATTTCACCGCACTAAGAAATACAGGGGCGGAAATATAGAATTTTCGATAACGAAATATCGTATACCAGGTGTATGTGACGGCCCGAAATTTAATTTATGATGTAACTTAAAAATATGTTCTAGCTCAATTAGCCGATTATAGGATAAAAATTTCATTTGAAGTGTGGAAACAACTATCATTGTTTCGATATATCATGTTTTTTTTACTACTATAAATATATTACCCTTTATTTTAATAACGAATAGAACTAAAATAAGTTCAAACTTTTTGAAATTACTTAAAATTACTGTATTAAAAGAGTTGACAGTGTTAAGAGCACTTTGGAGATTTGAAATATCTACTACATTTGAAAAAATTTAGTGCAAAATAGTAAGTTATTGGAAAATTGAAAAACTTTATTTGTCCTATTCTGCTGGGCCCCAGTTATTTCAAAAATAGGTATAATGTTAACTTATATTTAACAACATTTGAGATTACTTAAATATTCCGGACTAAATTTCTGAACCAATTTTAAACTTTTTTAAAATAATTTTTTATCCGAACTAAAATTATATTTAAACCTAAAGAAAATTTTCATAATTATTTTATCACATATTTTTAATATAAAATTTAAACAATAAAAATATATATCTGACCCATTTATTTTATAAATAAATATATATATGTATGAATATATACAAGATTAAATATAAAAACCAATAATTATATAAAATAGAAGAAGAAATTATAGCATATTTACAAGATTAATAATTAAAACACCAATTATTAAATTAAGTTAAAGAGTATAAATTGTTAAGAAAGAGTACATAACCTTAGTTAAGCTAGAAGAGTTATATATTTTTCATTTATTAAATTAAATTCCAAAATTATTTCATTAAAAATCTTTCGTGTCTGGATCAACACAAAAAAAAAAAAAAATATTATTTTTTATGAATCTTACAATAAAATACAAGAATTTAGATTATTTTATTTTTTTTTTATTATTATTATTTGCAATCCCTTGCTGCAAGAGAAAATTGTGTGTGCAAAGTGGTTCTGTAAATATTTAGAGTGTGCATTTTTTATGTTCACAGTTATTTCGTTTAAGTTATACAAGATTATGTGTGTATTTTGTTTCTTTAATGCGACATCATACAAAAATAGCGAAAAAGTAAAGACAAGACAGACAAAAAAAACCAAATATTGAACGAAATACAAAATAATTGTTGAAAGAAAATAAAATGAAATTCAATGAAACGTTTAACATTTAAATTATAAATAAAGAATTCTAAAAGTTATTTTATATTTTTTTGTATTTTAAAATATAAGAATCTATCCTACATTTATTTTCTAAAATCTGTTTTAGAGTTTCTTATTGAAACTGTCATTTATTACCTTATTTCCACTATCAAATTTAAGACGCCAAGACGGCCTACGGTCTGAACCAGTACCAATGCCACCTCCACTGCCAGGTACCGGTGATGGTGACATAGAATCAGATTTTCGATTATTTAATAAATTATTAATTGTTGAATCTTCTAAATTATTTAATGTTCCAGTTGTTTTATTGTTACCTATTATTGATCTGGCAGTGGTTGTTGTTGGTGATGTTATTGTTGTATTTGAACCAATATTTCCACTATCATCTGTATATTTATTAGCTTCATTTCTTAATTTATCAGCTAATGTTAATGAATTTGCATTATCAATATCAAAAAGTGATCGTTTCTCTCTTAATCTAACTGTCGTTGTTAATGTGGTATCTTGTTGATGTTGTTGATCAGAATTTTGTTGTTGATCACTAATATTTGCTGAATTTATATGATTTATAGTTTTTATATTCATATTATCAGTCTTTTTACTATTATTATTATTATTATTATTATTAGGCACATTAATTACAGTTGAAGATGTTATAATATCATCTTTCATTGATTTTCTGTCATTTAATGTTGAAGATGATGTAGTTACTGAATCTGATATTGGTATCGAAGAAATAGATTTCGATGGTGATTCTATATTTAATGATGTTCCTAATGTTGTTTTATTATTTTGTAAATTATTATCATCGTTCTTATCAAAATTACCAGAATTTCTATTTTCTCTAAGTTTAATTGTATACGGTGAGGTTGTTGTTGTATAAGTTGTTGTAATTTCTTTTTTATCTGAAGTAGTTGTATCAATTGTAGGAGGTGGTTGAATTACAGGTATTACAACAGATATATCACTAGTTGCTGTACTTGGTACTCGATCATTAATTCCACCCGTTCCTAATAAACTTGTTGTTGTTGTGGTCACTGTCGAAACTGTGGGATTACTTGACGATATAGTTGAAGTTGTCGTAGTTGTAGTTTGGGATTGACTCTGTTAATTATTTTTTTTTTTTATTTTTAAATAACTTAATTTTCTTTTATCATTAAATCAGAATAAAATTATCATTTTGTATTTATATTTATATATATGAATATTTATATTTATATATCCTTTCAATAAAAATTATAACTATTATCGAATAACATTTTATTTAGAATTTAATTTAAAATTGAGTTTAAAAATAGTTTTTATATCAAAATAAATTTAAAAGAAAAAAAAAAAGAAAAGAGCAACACAAAATGGATTTCGAAACAATTTTTGATAAAGCGTTTTTAAATAAAAAAATATTATTTTGGTTTTAAAAAAGCTAAACTGATTTGAAATGATTCGTGACTTTTATATATTTTAAAAATTGTAGTTAATTTTTAAAAAAATTGTATACATCATGCAACTTCTTTTTTATAAAAAAGTATGATAAAATTCATTCAAATTTCAAAATATTTAAAACAACATTAAAAGATTTCAAATAAATGTACTATTTCTGTATAGAATTGTATAAATAAAATTTGATAATATTTATTTTTAAAAATAAAAAAAAGAATTGCAGTTCCTAAAAGTAGCAATTTAAAATTCTGTAGAAATATTTTTGAAAACAGTTGTAATTGAAATATGAAGTTCAATTCATTACAGTATACTACCGCTGAGACTTGGAACTTTAATCGTTGAAAGGGTTTTATTTTGAAAATATTGAAATATATTTACAAATATAAATCTAATTATTTATCTCCATATCATTGTTTTTGTTTAATTAAAATATTTTTGTATAGAATGTAAGAAATATGAGATACTTTTAAAACAATATTATAAGATAAACAAAATATTTCAAACAATTTTCTATATCTAGTAATTTAGCGGCAAATTTGCTAACTTAATTCATTTTTATTTCTATAATAACTTTTAAATTTTCTTTATTTATTTATAATTTAGTTGAATTTCAACAATGAACTAAAAATATTATTTTTGATTTTATGATTTTAATGATTATAATATTCACATTAAATTAAATAACAAAGTTGTGTACATATCAAAATGAAAATGCGAATGAATATGAAAAAAACTAATAAGAAAAAAAAAAAGGAATTTAATTTTCTTATTCAATTAGTATTTTGAAATGTACTATACATGTATAATTTCATTTAATATTAGAATTTAAATAAAAAATAATTTTAAAATATATTAGTGTTTACCAAAAAAAAAAAAAATATCACATAATGTAGCTTAATTAATAGCTATTTAATAGTTATTAGATAATATGATGGTACAATGTAACATAATTTTTATATATTTTTTTTATGAAACCATAAATAATGTAAACTAAATTCTGAATTAACATAAAATAATGACTTGATACCTGATGAATTTGTTTTTTTTTTATAATGAAACATAATTATTATAACAATACATTCAAAGATGAAATTTATTTTACAATTTTTTCAATAGGGGCCTGTTCACTTATAATTCGCATTAAAAATATAAAATTGTATTAAACATGAAGTTGTTGAAAAGATAAACCCAAAGTAGTTTACATAGCTGCTATTCACATTATAATTAAATTATATTATAAAACTATATATGTAAAAAATAATATTATATTATTATGTAAAAATACAAATATAATTCAAACCAAAAATTAAAAAAAAAAAAAAAATTCAAAAGAGAGTTTTTCATTTCAAAATTCTGTTTTTTGATTTTCATCTTCTTTTTGTAGCTTATTGGTTTTGTTAATTGGGAAAATTAACTCAGAAAATAAAAATAGTCACACAAAAAAAAAAAAATTGTCTTTTTTTTTTGTTTTTGAATGCATTAACAAACTTACGTTTGTTGAGTTATTGTTAGTGGTTGTTGTCACATTATTGCTATTTAAATTCTTCTTTTTAACAAGTTCTTCGGCACTTTTGATTTCATCTAGAGTAACACCTTGAGTTGAACGTCTTGTTTCACGAACACGTTTTGCATGTGCTTTACGTTGTGTTTCACTTTCTTCATCACGTACTGGTGGTACAAAAGATCTAAAAAGTAAATTTTAATGTTATTATTACGTTTATATATTACAAATGTTTTTGTTTTTTAAGTTAGAAAATAAAAAAAAAATTTTTTTAATTAAAAATTGTTAACAATTGAAACAGTTCTTTCAGATTACAACAAAAATTATTATATATATTTACATATATAGGTATATAATATATATGTGTTTTTGATTTGCATTTAATTAGATTTAGAAATATTTTTTCATAGTTTTTTAAAATTATTTTAAAGTTATTATGAAGCCTCACACTAATATTTGTATTATGTTTTGTAAAATATAAACATTAAAATATAAATTATTTAATTTATTGTAAATATCTATGTAAAAAAAAAATTGTTAACAAAATATTTATAAGTATTTTCTGTGATAATAAATATCTTGGAAATTCAATATTGCATTTTTTTTTTGTAGTTTCATAAATTTCAATTCATAAAGTGAAATACATTATTAGAAGATGACATAGATAACACAAAGGCACCCGGAAAAGGCGATCTTATATAAACATATAAAAAAAATTTATGAAGATTGTAGGTTTCTTAAATTTAAAAAGAACAGATGAATGTATACTAAACGATAATTAAAAAAAAAATCAAAAAAAAATTATTGTCCTTTAAAAATAAAAAATTTTTAAATGACAACGATGTCAGACCTGTGAAAAATCTTTACTTTTGAAATTAAAATTGAATAAATTAGTTATAAAAAATTTATAATTTCAATTCCATACATATTTTCACCAGATAATGCACGAATACTTTTATGTATAATAAATGTATTGTTCTAAAATTATCACATCCTTGCCCACATTGCAATGAACTGCTCACATCAAAATGAGCTGCTCACATAAACATTTAACAAAAAAAAATATATGTAGTCAGTAAAATATCGCACTTATGTTTTACAAACAATTGATTAAAATTTTTATCAAAATGTTTTTATATAAATTAATTATTTCTAATAATTTTAGTCGACAAAAATTACAAAACAACCTAAGTTTTACAAAAAAAAAAAAAGGAACAAAATAATATTAAAAGCCAATTAGTTAATGTATTCGGGGTTATTATTTCTTATTTAATTTTAAAAAAAGCAATTAGAAATTCAATTATTCGAATAACTTAAATTTAAATTAATAAACTAACATAAAAAAAACATTAGTTTTAACAAAAAAAATACAAAAATAAATTAAAAATACAAATTACAATAAAAAACAAAAATTAAAAAGAAAAAAAAAACCACTAAAGGAATATAGAGTTCTGCTTAGAACTTTTATAAACTAATTACTTGAAGAAGTTTTTGATCATTGTTCCTGGCGATATTTTAACACGGAAAGGATTCGTTGTTTCATTACTATTTACTTTCGTATCATTTGAATTCATATCATTTTTATGATTTTCCTCTACATGATTTTGATTTTGTGTATCATTTTGACTATAAAATTTTTAATATTTATGTATGTTTTGTTTTAGATTGTCGATTGTATAATTATAATATGGAATATTTTACAAATAAATCAAATTAATATAATTGTGTTTTTTTTTTTGTTAAAAATTTATAAATTATATCTATACTTTTAATAATATTACCGTTGATAGAAAAATCACATTTAATCATTTAAATAATAATTTAAATAATCATTTAAATTGTAATATTCACAAATAAAATGTATACAGATTATAAAATTTACTTTTAACAAATTTATACGTACAAAATACTTGTAACAAATCATTTTTGCGAATTTAAAATTGATTGATTTACTTTATTAAATTAATTATAATACATTTTCATTTGAAGTTAATTTTTTTATGAATTACATATTACTGCAGTTTAATTTCTAATATAATTTGAAAATTTGACTTATATACAATAATAAATTTTAAATTCTCGCAAAAATGGCAACAATTAATTAAATAATTTTAAAAGAAAATCGCAAAAATAGAAATTTCGCAAAGAAGATTATTAAAAAATTATTCACATATAATTAAAAATATTAAAATCAAATTAATATAAAAATCAAATTCTCAAGATTTAGAATTGTTTTACTTTATTTTTGAAATGTTAGATTTTACAAATTTAGATCATAATTTAGTTTTGTGAATAATTTTATTTGTCTTATAATTTAAATCTAAAATTATTAAAAAATTTGAGCTTAAATCCATTTTATGAAATTTAATAATTTAAAATTTCCTTCTTATAACAAAATTTCTTGTAAAACAAAACTTTAATTTTCTTATTTATGATGCAAATTATTAAAATTTTAAATTATTAAGTTAAATTTTACGGTATTCTCTTTTTTGCCTACTTGATAACCTTGATTTAAAAAATTATTTTGCGATTTTCTTTCATAAACACAATCTTAAAAAAAAAACAATTCTTATTATTCCTTTTATATACCTTCTAACAAGTGCTGTTGTATTAGTCTGTACTGGTGCTGCTGGTGCACTAGGACTGACCGGTGGTGATGTTGGTTTCCTAAAAGAATTTATTTTAAAAATTTTAATTTACAATTTCATTTTTAGATTTAAGATGATTTAAATATGAATTAATCGCAATAATAATTACATGTTTAAGTATGTTATTTAAATTAAAATTTAAATATGTGAATATAGATTTCATGCAAGAAAAAATAAAAATAATTATCATTAGATATTTTAAAAGAAACAAACAATTAAAAAAAAAAGACAATTCACAAACTAAAAATATTTATATGTACATTTTAAACTTATACATACTTTAATTTATTATGAACTTAAACTAATTTATTGCAATTAGTTAGTTGGAATATTGTGTTAAATTTTATGCTTCAATTAAATGGATGAAAATATGAATAAATGCTAATTGTTTTTACATTTCTATATCAAGTTTTTATTAAATAAAGTAGAAAAAGTGAAATAAATATTTTTGTTTTCAGTTAAGGTAAATAAAATTTATAAAAATTAAATATTTTTTTCTTAAAAAAATTTATAATATTAGCGATTTTATTTATTACATTTTTAATTATTTTTTCATATACGAACTAGAGTTTGAAATTGTGTCGAAATTTAATGTTAAAGTAATTTAAGTCATAGGATTAAGTCATATTGCTTTGGTTTTTTAATCGAAACAATAGTGAATTTTTTAATTAAAATGAACATGAAATTCTTTTTTCAATTAAAAAAAGGCAAAATCCTTATTCAACATAAATACACAAGACTGAATACAAAACAAATGCACATGTTTCTTATTAAAAAAAATCTTTTACAAAAAATAATCTTCCTTTTTCAACATCTTAGTGTAAAATAAATTTTATTTCACTATTTCTATTCATTTCAATTAGCACTACATAATATTTTTATTTTTTCTAATGAGTTATAGATGAATTAGAAATGTTTTACTTTTTTTTTTTTTTTTATTAAAGTGAATACCTGAAATTTCTATGATCTTTAAGTGAAGCTGATCTTTGAACGGAATAATTATTGTTTGATGAATTAACAGCACCTAAAACACCAGTTGTTTGTGTCGCTGGTAGAATCGGGCATGAGTTAGCTTTTATTCTAGCCCGAAGCTCATGATATTTTTGATAGAATCTTTTGTTTATTTTGTAAGTTTTTCAAATTTATTATTTTGTGTTATTGCAGATAAATTTTAAAATGTTCAATCAAAATGGTGTTTTTTTTTAATTCAATGTTGTAAATTTTAAATATTAATTTTTATTAATAGTTATTATTCAAAAAAAAAAAAATAAATGTTTCAATTAACATATTAAAATACGTGTTTTAAAAATAGCGGGCGAAAACAATGATGCAAATAATAACATAATAAAAAAAAAATAACGAAAACAAAAAGTTTTATTAATTATTTTAATAAAATTGGTGTAATTTGTGTTAAATATTATTATTTTATTATGAATTAGTATATTATTGTAATAGAGCTAAAACGACATTAGTATATCAAAGCGTTTTGTTTTAAAAAATAAAATTAGAATCTAAAGTTGTTGATCTTCCACTAAATATAAAACTAAGAAAATTATTTTATTTAGATTGTCTGTTATTATAAACTATTTACAGAATTTTTTTTAATTATTGAGAAGAGAAAATAATTGTGTATAATATATCTATTACAGAAATATAATTAAAATAATGTAGCTATGTACATAATTTAGAATAATTTTAGCATAAACAGAACAGAGAAATGTAAGATAAAAAACAAAATTTAATCAAAATCTTATTATTTTTAATTTTAAATGTATTTTTGATTTTAAAATTAATAAGTATAAAGAAAAGAAACCTTAATTATTCAAAAATGGTAGTCTTTTTTAAGATAACAATTATGCAGTTTCAAAAAAGACTTTTCTGTTTAAATTTCAGAAATGGTTTTAATTTTTCATAAAATGAATAACAAAAAAATTTTAAGATATATAAAATTTTGAATGAAATACATTTGATCAACAACTTAGTATTCTCTTCATCTTATTTAATTTAATTATGTATGATTGGTTTTTTTAAGTTATTTTAAAATATTTCAAACAAAAAAAAAAAAAACATATACATATTTAAAAAACACGTACTTCTGATCATTTTCAAAGCTTTGGGTTCGCCTTAAAATAACATCTGATTCAGATGATTTTACTTCCACTTCAGGAACTTCTAAAATTACAAAAAAAAAGAATTAATTTTTATTACAATTTAAGACAATATTTTTAAAATATGTGTATTACTTTCTTGAGTGTTATTGCGTGTTCGAGCACTATTCCTTCTCCATGGTGCATCTTCATCAACAATTTCGGACGCTGTTTTCTTTACTGGTTCACTTGGTGGTTTTGAAATTTCCTCTATAAAAATAAATAAGATATAAATTAATATTTAAGTCAAACTAAAAAAAAATTTTATCTAATTCAAAGTTTTATTAAACTAAATATAAATTCAAAAATAAATATAATATAATTGTATGAAAAAAAAAAACAATTAATTAAAATTAGTCATTCATGCTTTTCAGTGGAAAACTTTAATTTTAATGTATTTTAATATTCTTAACTGTTTTAAAATAAATTTACTTTTTAACAGTTTGCTATTCTTGTAATTTTATTAATTTAAAAATCAATTTTAATGTCAATCATAGAAATAACTATTCATAAAAATAAAATTTTTATTAACTATTTAATGAAAAAATATTTCAACAAAAATAATTTATATTAAATTTATATTATTTACTACACTATTCATCATACCTGAACGAATTCGAATGTAATATAATCAAAAATAATTTATAATGAGATCAAAAAATATTTTGTATTTCAGCGAAATTCATGAAAAAGTGTTCTGTGATTTTTAATTTATAAATTTTCGAAAATTTTATGGTAAAATTATTTATTCTGAATAAAAGTATGGAATTGGCTTTTTTTTTGTGTTGAATTTGAGAATATCTTAAAAGTTAAAATTTTAAATTATTGAAAATTTAAATATCAATAAAATCAGGCATTTAATGAGTGATGTAAATAATGTTATTCATTTTGTTATAAATATTATTATATTTATATATAGCTTTATTTAATATGATTATGCAATAATTAGCTTTCTCTGAAAAATAGATTTTTTAAAAAATAATCCTTAATATATTTTAATGAAACCTACGTTTTGTTTTTGATACTAATTAAACTAAATAAATTTAAAATGTGTCAAAAATGATAAACTATGATGATATTTATAAGAGAATTATTTTAATATTCGATATACATAAGTAATAATATTTCCAAAAAAAAATATTATAATTTTTTTAATAATGTACATAATATATACAAATTCATTTTTATAATATTCTTGAATTTTTGAAAAGCATCGCAACAGTTTATATAAAAGTTAATGCAATATTTTGTTAATTGTTACATTATCATTTAACTTATTTAAATTTTATAAATCACATATAAATTTTATTGTATATAATAATAAAAAAGTTAACAAAATATAACAAAAAAATTTAATTTACAATTAACCAAAAAAAAAAAAAAATTATAAACAAAAAATTAATTTTAATTGAAACGATTCACAATAAACGAAACAAATAAAATAAAACAACAGGGAAAACGAAACGAAACAAAGTATAATAATTAAAAACGGTTTTGTAATATTTTGAACTGAACGGAAATAAAACGAAATTATTTTGTTTTTTTTTTTTTTTGAGAGTGTACATAGAAATTAAAATAAGCAATTAACTTCCGATTTTCTATGTATGTAATACATTAAAATCTAGTACACGATACATTAATTTTATAATAAAATGTATTTAAATAAAATTGAATCAAAAGTAAAATTGTAATCTTTATATAAGTAATATGCAGTGAATGCATAAATTGTCATTATATTATTCAATAAGTCCAAAAAATAAGTTCATAATTTAATTTATAATAAATATTAAAATAAAGTATTTGATAATAAAATATTAGAATAAATTCTGTATCGTATACTAAATTTTGTTTTTTAGTCTGCTTCCATTTTTTGTTTTTTTTTTGTTTTGAATATTTAGGTACCTTCAGATTCCGAAACACTGGTTGAATGTGAACTTTCTGTTGAATCGCTCAAATCTGAATCGCTTTCACCCGATTCATTGCTTATTGGTTTAATAACATTATCATTTTCATTAACAACTACAGCCATTTCTTCACTTTCACTATCAATTTTAGTATTTTCTGTTGAATCTAGAAAATTTTTTAATTACCACGCGCGTCATTTGTTAAATTCAAATTATTTAATTGGAATCAAAATATTTTATTGAGCTCTCCCTTTTTGTTAGATTTTGATTAAATTTATGTTTCAAAAATATAAATAACTTAAAATTGATATTTAATTTGGAAAAGTTTTATACAACAAAAAAAAAAAAAATATATTTTTGAACCCTTTAAATATGTCTAACCTAAAATTTACAATAAGTTCCTACCAAATTCAATAACGAATAATATTTATAAATTCAAAATATTCAGTGCAAAATTAATTGATATTCCAAAAAATCTTTTTTAATCCATTGAATCTATTTATAATTTTGGACAAACTAAAAATTTTGAAATAATAAATTATTTATTTAACTTTCATATTCCCGCTTTTATCTACTGATAAGAAATTAAATTATTAAATCATACAAATTATCTAATCTTCTCAAAAATTTTCAAAGTCTACGTAAATGTGGTTTAAAACTAAGTAAATGCTAGATATGATAAAAATATTAACCAAATATATAACTAATGGTAATTTTTAAATTTTAATTTAAATAGACAGGAAATAATTTTGTTTTGTATTAAATTTTGGTAGAGACTTATTGAGTCATAATTTAGCTTCTATAAAAATTTTCTATTATTTTCTACACCTAATCGAAGGTAATAATAAAAAAATAGAACTTAATTAGATTATTACCATTGATTTTATCTTTAACTTCAACTGGTTTAACTTCAACGCGAACTTTCTTGAAATCAATTTGATTTTCAATACGATCAGAGTTTCTAAAAATAAAACAAAATATAAATAAATTTATGTATAATACAGAAAAAAAAACATTTAATTTTACCTAATTTGACTAGAAGGTCGTTTAAATACTTTACGATTTGCTTTTAATTCTTCCATAAACTTCCTCATTTTAGGTTCATCAGCTACATCAATACAATTTTGTCCTGAATAATTACGTATTTCCATATCAGCTTGTGCATCAACAAGCATTTCAACTGCTTCTCTTTGTCCCCAATGAGATGCAGCATGTAATGGAGTCCAACCGTCATTATCTTGTTTATCAATATTTGCTCGTCCCGCTAGTAATAAACTTAAGACCTTAAAAAAAAAAAAAGAATAATTATGTTTGTTTTTTTTAATTTTCATAAAATTCTTTTACTTTTGTATATCCTTTGGCTGCAGCAACATGTAAAGGTGTAGCTCCAGTTTTTGGATGTATTGCATCAGCTTCAGAAGCATCACTTCTTAACCATCTTTTAGCATCAGCTAACATTGTTTGTTCTTCTAATTGCCTACATTTTTCACAATCAATTTGATTTGATTCAAATAATTCTTGTAAATAATCGCTCATATTTGTATTTGGTGGAGCAATATCAACTGCTAAATCGCCATCATTGTTCACTATTGTTAAATCAGCTCCATGTTCAGCTAAATATCTTGCTATGCTTACAGATCTAAAATATAATTAAAAAAAAAATATATATATAATAAGTTAATTAATGGATCGTTGTTAAAACATTTAAAAAATATTTATTTTAAACATCTTTTTAGTTTGTTTAATTGAATTTTAAAAATTATATTACCCGCAAGATGCTGTTGCATGAAGTGGTGTCCATCCTTCATTATCTTGCCTATTAATATCTGCTCCATATTCTAATAAAAATTCAACCATTTCTAGGTTATCGTCAATGCATGCCTAAAATAAAAAATAAAATCGATTTTTAAGTAAAAGTTTTTAAAAATATTGGCAAAATTATAAAATATATAAGTATACTAAAAGTGATCAATTTTCATTTAATGTGCGGTTTTCGATCAATAATCAAAACAATCCGCTAGGCTAGATACTCAAAATTTCATTTTTCTTTTACTGTTTAAAATTGAATTTTAGATTTTTTATACGTCATTTAACATTATAAGACAAAAATAGATGGCGTCATTTGGTCTTATTATTTTTGCAACAAATTCATATATTTTGTTGCTTGAAAAAGGACAAAAATTTAGCAACATTATTTAGATACAATTTTTCTCTCTCTACTAGTTGCTCATTAAAATTATATTTTTTATGTCAGAAATTATTTAAATTTAATTAATCACAATTTAATTTTTGATCAGTTATTTGATTTCAAAGATTATTTTTTTCTCAGATTTACTGATAAAACAATATTTATTTAATAATTTTCATTATAAAGTCGACACTATGTATTAACCTTATTAGGAAATTTTAATAAATTTTCTTTTTCAATTATTCTACTTTATCAATTTTCATTGTAGTTCTACACTCTCTATCTTATCATAATTGAATTAACTCACTTGATGACTCAATTCACTTCACTTATAAATTTATTATCTATCATGTGGAGAATTAGTTATGTCAATACGATTATTATACTAATAAGTAGGCTCATAATAATATTCATGTATGTATGTGCATTGATAAAGAATAAATAAAATCTTCTGAATTAAAATACAAAATAATTTCCTACAACTGATTTTATTTAAGAAGTCAACCCCATAGGCCAATGACCTACAATAACATTTTTTTGTTAAATAATTTTACTATTTCATAATATACAAGTCATCCGGCTATATATATACAAGTAAATATTTCAAATAATTCTTATTATACAATTTTATAAAAATTAAAAAGATTTTGTTATACGCACTCTTATGTGTTATGTATGTATTCTATGTATATATACATACATATATTGTGTATTTTGTAACATTTTTTTTTAAAAAAAATTAAAATGAATTAAAAATTATGTCTGATTTACGCTATGCTCAAACAAAGTTCTAGGGTTCTTCTTATCAATTTGCTTCTCTGTATGCTCGTTTGCTTTGAAACTTGAATTTTTTTTTCTCTTTTTTTTTTTGTTTTGAAGAGTGACAAATATCAAAACCTGTGAATTACTTTATTTTTGATAATTTTCATTATTAAGGAATAAATAACAAGAAAATAATATTAATCTATTATTTTTACTATATATTTTATTATGAATAATGAAATTACTGTGGAAATTGAGGACAATATATCAAAATAAAAAAATATAAATTTCTTGTAAATATTATTTTAATAAAATTTAACAGAAAATAATATGCACTTTGACTTGACATTTAAATTGTATTAATATAATTTTATTACACAATTCAGAAATTAACACTCATACTCGTAATTTGAATTATGCAGCAATATTTTATTTTTTGCAATTTGAATGTCAGGGATATTTTAATAAATTTTTTGTATTTTGTGAATTGAAGATTGTGTATAGTTGTGAAATGTTTATAGTTTTTATAACACATTAAGTGTAAATAATCATAAATTTAGCGTAGTCTAATTTGGGAAGAAATACAAGTGAGAACGGATTTACAATAATAGTTATTGTATTATAATACAATTCAGCTTATAAGTTTTAATTGCTGCATATATACCTGTATGTAAGGAAGAATACAGGTATATTAACACAATTCTGAATGATTATCAAACTCTGTAAATTCATCAACTAAGAACATGTGAGAAATTAACATTCGACTCTCTTCTGAATAAAATGACAGAACTCTAATTTAACAGTTTAGCAAATTACCAGTTTAAATAATCACGTAAAACAAAATATCATCAATGTCGACTTGAAGAAGGTGCTAAAATTTTGTTCCGTCTGTTATTTACTTCTCATTTTCAGAATGAACACAAAAATAACACGGTTTACTTGTGTAATGAATTTTAACTGTAATAAAACATTTCAATTTATATTTACAAATTTTATATTTATTTTTTTTTTAATAGCTATTATATAATTATTTTTAAAAATCTGACAGTAAATTATTTAAAATTTATGGCATTTAACGTCATCAACCCAATATTGTATTAACAATAATATTGATTTTATATTTGTTATGTATATAAAAATAATGATTATAAACTCATTTTATACAATACAAAAATAATTAAAATTTCACATCTTTTAAATATTTATTTACATACATATGAGTATACGAGTACATATATGAGTATGAATTGTTATACTTAATTGGTATACGAGTATATGTGTGTGATATTGTGTACCGTATATATTTATAGATTAAGTGTAATCAAAAATTTAATTTAACTTAATTAAAATTTTAAATAAAATTTTCATACATACGGTATATATATGTTTGTACATATACATATATATATATATATAAGATAAATCCCCTTATATAATTAATCAGTAAACGTAACAAGTATAACATTATACGAATGAAATTACAAAACACTTTATGCATACAGTAAAATACCAAATTCAGTGAATAAATTTCAGTGATAAGTTGAATAAGAGTTAGTTATCACTGATAAAGTTCAGTGATAACTAACGGCTTGGCGGTATAGTAAACAAAATTGGCTTTACTTTCTTGGTATTTTAGAGAATATACCTAAAATTTATACTCTTCATCTAGGATATTGTATAAAAAAGTTTGATTCTAAAAGGTCAATTGATATTTTAGCATAGTTTTTCACTTATTGAGATTCGACTGTGAATAAAAACTGAAATTTAATTTAAACAAATTTTTCGAAAAAAAAAAATTTTTTTTTTTTTAATTTTTAAATTTTTATTGTTTGTTTTTATTTTTATTTTTTAATTCCAGACGCGAAAATCTATTTTTGGATATTGTATTGTTTATAAACGTTATTATAATTTCTATCTATAGAGCATGAGATCTTCCCAACTGGAAAACGGCAAAAGTTTTCTATTTATGTTTTAATGAAAATGTTAAAATTTTATTATTTTACTATTTTTGTTTTTTTTTCTTAAATTAGTATTCAAATTTATGTAAGATATAAGAAATAAGAATTTTTAAATGATTTTTCATTAAAAGCGTCTATCGAATATAGCAAACCTGGTTACCGAAACTTTTACAATATTGTATGACAGGTAGAATCCAATGGCAGCTTTGCCCTATTCAATTTAGGATAGGGCAAAGCTGTCAAAATATTGTGAAAGAGTGAAGATATCTCAATAATATATCAATTTATATTAGATCAGCATTATAGGGTTTTATTGTAAAAAGTCAATTTTTACTTAGATGTTTATTTAAAGAATAGCGTAGATTAACTATCTGAAGCAATAATTAGCTAATTTTCGAATAGCAATTACAAATGATTCAGCTTACGCTAATGCTCAAAATAAATTGATTACGACTGAAAAGTTTCGACACCCCTAGAGATATAAAGGGCGCCAAATAATTATAACACATGTAAATTTTAAAAATTTAAAATTGGCTGCTAACATCATTGAAAAAAAAGACAACAACAAATAAAATTAAAAATTTTCTAAAAATACAATGCAAAAAATAAGACAAAAATAATTTTAAAAATTAAAAATATTAATTTTTGTTTGTATATTTTTGTACAAAATTACATTTGACGTCTTATATACGAGTACATACTTTACTCAGAGACAATGAAATCATATGTTTTATATTAATTTCCTATAGTTATTTTACAACATAATGTACGTAAGTATGTGCACATATTACAACCACGTAATTTTTAAGAAATAGTAAAAATTAGAAATGCATTCATTCTTTTACATAAAAATATGAGATAAGAAATAAAAATAACTTGGCACAAAAACAAAATGACAGCTTCAGAAATGTTAATAATATAAAAAAAAGTTTAAAATTATGCTGCGATATTTTATATTAAGAGAAAAATTTTTAATTTTCTACTCTTATTAAAAATATGTTAAGATATGAAAATGTAAAGATAAGGTTGAATAAATTTTTTATTTTACAAAATGTCAACAAATTTTCTAGAACAAAATTTACGATAACAATTTGAAGGAATAGCTCAAGAATAAGTCAAATTTTTTCAAGGATTCAAAAAGCTCAAGAATAGCTCAAATTTTTTCGAGGGTTCAACAAGCTCAAGAATAGCTCAAATTTTTTCGAGGGTTCAACAAGCTCAAGAATAGCTCAAATTTTTTCAAGGGATCAACAAGCTCAAGAATAGCTCAAATTTTTTCAAGGGATCAACAAATTCAAGAATAGCTAAAATTTTTTCAGAGGATCAAGAAGCTCACGAACAACTCAATATTTCTTCATTTGGTGTTGTCATAAATGTTGATTTAAAAGTCTCCGGCTGAAAAATTTTGTAAACAGTTTTCCATTTCGAAAATATCAATGACAAATTCACGAATAAGTATTTTAATTTTTATTGACATTTTCAGAAATAAAACAAAATTATTCGGAAATTCCTTTCTAAATTTCATTTTCATTTCGTTCGTTTTCTAGAATGTATGCAAATTTTTTTTTTTTTTTGAAAAATCTCGTACATATTTAATACCGAAAACATTTTATTGAAGTTTAATAAAAATTATGAATTTTTATTATTTAATTTTTCTTTTTTCAATGGAATGTAATATGACGTCATTTGAAAAATTTCTTATAACAATAAAAAAAAAAAATAAAATAATTTTTTTTTGTTTTCAAAAATTTCAAAATTATTTTCTGACATCATTAGAAAAATATTGTTTCAAAATTATACATACACATAAATGTATATGAATGTTTGTGCATCTGTTAGAATTTCTAAGGAGAAAAATAGTTAGAAATAAGGAGAAAAATTTAAATTAAAAAAATATCAAAAAAAAAATTTCAAAAAATGTTCAAAAAAAAAGGTATTTTTTAATTTGAAAAACAATAAAAAAAATTTTTTTT